ACCTCCTTGAGAAAACTTGTGCTCCTGTCCTGTCACTGCAGCAGAAAAGTCTGAGATGTTAAACCCGAGTAGCGGTGGAAAACGAGCTGCAGTATGCAAACGAAAAAAAAATGTGCAGACTTGTACATCTGCAGTTACAAAGTCAGGAAAACGTGACTGAAGATTTGTGAAGCATCGCCATTAGAACAGCCTATATAGACAAGAGTGAGTGCACCCATATATAATATATATCCTGGGGGGTGAACTCGTGTTTTATTTAATTTGGTTGCCTGAAGAAATAAGATTGGTGAGCGTATTGGGGCACAGGTATTTTTGCTCGTGTTGTACATCCTGCCTGAAAACGAGAAGACTGCATGACGATCGGCGATGTATGGCAAAGGCTTGATCATTTCTGTTAAAACACAAGGTAGATGTGCCATGATTATGAACATCTGCACATATGTTCATGTAATTCAATCAATTCTTTAAAATTCTCAGCAAATCAGCTCCAAATCATAAGCACCTATCTCTTTTCCACACTCTAAATGCAAATCACACAGTCCGTCTGCACGCCGAGGTGTTCTGTTTGGCTTAAGTGTAAATGCATACGGCTATTTTTAGGCAGACCTGGGTAAAGTCACTCATTTTTGCGTGCTAGATGCGCAGGATATTCAATTTTCAAACAGCAAAAGAAATCTTGGCACTCGTTTTTTTTTTTTTTTTTAGCGGCTTGCAGACACTGACGTGCCGCAGACCTACCATTCTGCAGTCGGCCACGGCGCGCTGGGCTTTGCGGGTACTCTCGGTGCTCTCCCTCCGCTGCGGGTCTCGGTACGGAGGCTTGCCGATCTGGAAGATGTTCCCGGCGGATCTGGGGCGGTTTTTGCGCCCATTCGATGCAGAACTCATGCATACACATCCACGATTAAAACAGCCCCAAAACGGAACGATTCTGTCCGACTCCAGCCACAAATATTTCTAATGATTAAAAACTCCTCCACCGCTGTTCCCCTTCTACCTCACCACCATGCACCCTTTGCCGTTCACCTTATTCTCTCCTTATAGACTCAGTTCACCTTCGACAACTGAAGCTCGATTTATTCTTATTGCTCTTTGTCGCTACCTTTATTTATTGTAGGAGAGGGAGGAGGGGAGGGAAATCCCAGACGAGCCTAAGGGCGCAGGAAAAGTAGAGGATGAGCGCCTGTGGCTCCTCTCCGCATTGCTTTGACTGCGTCGGGGCTCAAGTCACCTTCACTCCCGCGCCGCTATAAAGGTGTATAACGAGGACTCTTCACACCCGGCTAGGAGTCCAGTTTGCAGAAGCGTCCTTTCTGACGCACAGATGTCAGATCGCATTCACGGATGGTCTCCAAATGCAACCATTTTTTATGATTGCGCGTTTCCATCAAGCACCGGGCGATTAAAAATATTTTCCTCTGTTCTGTGCGGACCAAATAACGCCGTCTGCGTGCGCTGAGAATAAAGTCGCAGCCTACACTTTGAGCTTCTGTGTAGGAGAAAATATGAAACTGATCCCTGGCGTCGGAGTTCCAGTCCGGCTCCGAGTGTCTTTTTCTTCTTCTTCTTCTTCTCCTTCTTCTTCTTCTTCTTTGAGTGCTTCCTCCCAGTCGGGCGGGCCTATCTCTAACCTTGGAGAGGCAGAACGAAGATGAGCACTTGCTACAGGCCTGACGTGGCTCTGTGGTTGGCAACACTGCGCGCCCGTGGGACGGGAATACTAATAGGGCCCGTTAACCAGACTCTAGCAAACCTTGAAAATAAAGATTATTGTCCATCAAAAACGCTGCGAGCTCTGTGAGGACTGAACTTGATCACTATAAACTTTTAAACTGAGCCGAAATTTACTTTTTGTGCTGTGATCTACAGGTGCAACTCTGTAATTTGGAATATTATCAAATGTCACAGAGTTACGCCCTCCATGGGGAGGGCATTGAACAGATGCACATGGCTGCACAGACTGATTGCGCACAGGTTGCTTTATCCGGATACATTAATGGAAGGTTGAGTGGAAGGAAAAAGGGAGATGAAAATGTGCAGAAGCAACAGGAATAATCAACAAATCTTCAAAAATATGGTGACATAAAACCCATTTAAGAGTAGGTGAGAGTTATTGTACACTATATTAACATTCAAAAGTTGAATTTCCCAAGTTCCAAATCAGAAAAGCAGTAAGAAGGTTCAGTAATGCTAAAATTCTGACTCAGAAAGTTGGAGCTCACCAAGCAACCTCAAGGCTGATTTTCAATTTTACTGCATAACCCCTAACCCCATCTATCTGAAATATAATGAGGGAGGCCAGTATAAAGAAATGATTAGCATTACATTTGTATCTCTTGTGATATTTTTTCCAGCTCCTAACTCCGATTCCCAAAACTCTAATATTGCTTCCCGTGGACTCTACTCAGTGACGCACAGGTTACCACACACATGCATACCCATAACACTGGGTAAGACTTCTTTGTTTTCCTCAAATCCCAAACCAGATGTTGGAATCATCTTAGGAAGAAAAGTGTCTGGCTCGTTTACTGTACAAGCATAATAACGGAAAACTGAATGGAGGGATTTTTGGTTGATTTTGGGGAGGTTCTAACTTTGAGTGTGGCATGTGTGTGGCAGTGCCACACGCATGGAGAAGTACCATTCTGCAGCCTTGACTTCTCTCTCCAGGTGAATTTACAACAAATCACATCTCACAATTCACATGGTATCATCAGAAACCCTTTTGGATTATTAAGCTACATTGACCAAAATGTTGAGTTGAGCTAAGCTTACTCATATGTCCTAAACATCTTCAGGAAACAAGAGCAAACAGTCCAGTTGCCTTCTACTTACTGTAAGTACTGTAAAGATCACCATATCCTGGATGACAGAGAATCTTCTCCAGTCTGCTTGCGGTGAAGCCTTAACTTGTATCCCCAGGCAACTTACACACATGGTTAAGGTGAAAAAGAGTTATCTTTTTAGGAGGGTGTGAATATTGTTTAGGGAAAGTGTTGCTGTGATAATCTCACAGAATATTGTGAGTATTAATCCAGAGGTTCTGGTGTCTATCCAAGGGGGAGAAAGTTATGAAGAGAGAATTAATACAGCTGGATTGTACGTCAACAAAGTTTCTGCCCCAGAATAATAGATGTTTGTTCCAACCCCACGGCTAGGAGCTTTGCTTCTCTGTTAACACTCACACACAGCAGCAGAAGCATCAACCACACACACACACACACACACACACACACACACACACACACACACACACACACACACACACACACACAGACTATAGTGTTTTATCACTGTGAATTTCATAGAATGAAATTAGCAAATCCTCATACATCATCAACTAGGTAGAACAATGATGAACGATGAGAGACCTGTAGTTACCAAGCCGTGAGTCCTCATTAAATTCGCAATGGAGAGAAGTATTTTTCTGATCTCTTCTCACTTAAACGAACATGCTTTTTTTTATTTTTTATTTTAAGTTCAACACTATTCACACCTTAAAGTATGTGACCAAAACCATTCACACATTGGCAGCATTAGGTGACACATTTGGATCCTCTAGTGACAATGACCCAAAAATGTTATCGAATAGAGGGTATGGCACAGGGACTCTTTTGATCTTGATGCTCTCAAACAGTGAAACTGTTCTGACCATAAATTATGTGCCTGATAGTTCCAACCCATGTTTAGAACTGAATTATTTGTGTGAGAATTGTGATGTCTTCTAGAAACCAGAGAGGTCCAGTTGCCTCCAGTTTAAGCATGTAAGATTTTCAAGACATGGATGAAAAGCTGAAAGAAAAGCTAAAGAACTAACTACTATTAGCTATTCAAGAAACTAAAATATTCTGGAATTGTTAGAATTGCAATTGTGAACTTTTACAAACAGCAGTAATCAATCACTAACTTTTGTATGGAAATGTCCTAATGTGGACTCTGAGATCAGTATTTGTAAGACATTTTTCCATTCTTCGGTGGAGTCTGGCGACGGCAGGCACTTAAACTCCATAATAAAAGTATGATTTTATCTTTTTTTTAATCTTTTTCTTTTTTTTTCTTTTTCCAAAATCTCTTTCTCTTTCTTACTGTTTATTTAATGTCACATACCGTTTTTATTTTGTTTCTTAATTATGTAAAGCACTTTGAAATGCCTTGCTTCTGAAATGTGCTATACAAATAAAATTTGATTGATTGATTGATTGATTCTTCAACATGGAAATGCTAATCTCTGAATAAAAACAGAGTAGACATTTGAAACATTCATTTAAAACAATCAGTGCTAAATAATAAACATGTGGGTGTTTTTTGTTGTTTCTTTGATGTTCAGGCTTGAAACAGCAAACTCTCTTAAAATAATATTATTTCACATATATTTTTATGATCAAATTAGCCACACACTGAGCACTGCACCAAACATGGATAGTGGCTACATAGAAAATAAAACAATTATATAAGCTTTACATTAATGCATACATGTAAAAGTGATCAATATGGGTCAATTTCTTCTCTCACAGAAGGAAATTATCCTGTCAAACATTTGCTTCCTGTTAATGTATCTCAATTTATTGCAGGCTTTCAGTGGTTGTTTGGTCCTTCTTGGACAAACAACCAAACCGCAAAAAGAAGAACGTAAATGTACTGAATCAATTAGGAACTACTTTCAGTGTACACAGTAGTGGCTTTTCTGCAGACATGTTGCTATGTGGTTGTGAATTCAAAGGAAAGGCTTTCAAAAGAAAAATAGAAATGTTTTAGTCGTGACACCACATAAGTAAACAAACCACCTGCTTCGGATGTTATCATCCCATAGAATGGCGATTATCAGTGGTTATCAGATCTTACCCATTCTTTTGCTAAAGGGTATTATCTGTGCTACCATGTTGAAACTGTTGAAGTGCAAAAGTAATGAGTTCAGCTAACATGCTCACTGATGTGTTGGTTTCATACCCAAATGTTTCTCTAACTATTTAAAGCACTCACATTTGACAGAATATCTATACATACAAAAGCTTTTATTGATGCATTGTGCATTTATCAATTGTTTAAGACAAACTACAGGAAATGCTAACATTGACAGCTTTCTGATAAACAGATGTCACAAATACTGTGACCAAATTAGAAGTGTCTTTTTTGCAGTCCCAGTGATGCATAATACATTTTGAAAAAACATGTTTAATGACAGATAGCACAACACAAACACATCTCCAATAAAAGCTTCTTTTACATTTTAGCTGCAAACAGAAGTGAATGATTTCACAGACTTGAAGATGTTGCACAATGGAGATCCATGAACTCTAATAAGCCAGAAACTACTTATATCATATGTAGGACAGTATCTTCGAACATACAGATTTGAACACTTTGGACAGCGAGTCACCCTCTCATTATTCCAGCAAAGAACCAAGTAGTACTATAAGACAATTTTTTCAACGTTAAACATGTTAATGTTTCACCTTCGCTCTGAAAGACATAACAAGGCTCAACTTCTGGGAGTCTGACAATGACGACACAAGTTTTTCTTGAAGCCACATGCCAGGTGTGACCACTGCTCACATGTGTTGCAACGTCGCCACTCACGCCACTTCTTCTTGGCATTTTTTTTCTCATCACTGAAAAGACAGTGGCAGATGTTGCAAACATTCGTAGTATCTAAATAAAGAAAAAGAAGTCATTTATTGACAAATGTCGTTTAATCAACATAAAAGAAGCATAATGCATTAATTTATTTAAATGCATACTATCTGAAGTCGGTTCTCTTGACAGCACTTCCGTCAAACCCATAGGCTCTGTTATGCTCTGCTCATCTAAAGACTCTTCCAAGACCTGATCTTTTAGTGTATCCCATAGGCTCAGCTCCTTCCTTTTTGCCCTGGTATACGCGGTCCCTTCTTCCTTTGAGTTTTCAGTACAAATATCATCTGATGCGGGAAAAACAGTGTTGGTGTCAGATGAGCCTGCATGTGACGGAATATAGGAATATTTCTCCCGAGCACCGATGGTTTTCCGAGTTAGTTTTATTTTTTTGGTCCTACAACGGACACTGCTCTTATATTTAGGCATGGTTCTAAAGTGGGAGAGAACAGAAGGAAGACAGAGATACTGTAACACCGAGAAGCATAAAATAATAATAAAAAA